ATGAATTAGTTTTTAGGGTGAAATTATTTTTTAGGGTGAAATTATTGATACGAATTGTTGGGAATTAGAAGAATCATGTGTATGTATAATTGTATATAATAATTGTACATATAGATAAATTGTTTGGGAATTAGAAGAATCATGTGTAACAGTGTATGTATAAATTGTACATATAGATAAATTATACGATAAAAAATTGTTGGTAATAAGCCACATTTTGAATGAAATTATAAAATTATTTTTTAGGATGAAAAATTAAAATTTGAATTTTGAAAAATGATTATGATTAGTTGAATTGCTTAGTTGTATTCATATGAATATGATTAGTATGAATAGTTACTTAGTTGTATTCATAGAGTCTAAGAATTTTTATTTCTTTTCATTTTACAGTTACGTAATGGAACGATACTATAAGAAACAATGCTTAAAATCCTCCTTCAAACATTTTGGGTAGTCCTCCTCCTTCAAATATTCCGAGTAGTCCTCCTCCTTCAAATATTCCAAAGTATTTCCAGTAGGTCTCACAACAAAGTGAGGCCACTGAGTTGGATGAAATATTGGCTAATCTTCCTGCAGACCCTGCACATAGACGTCGAATGCTTGATTATCCACCTAATTATCGTGAAGCAATTCGTAGACACTATCTCCAAAATGATCCTTGTCAACCTAGAGACCACATCATGCCAAGAAAGGTTAGTGACAATCGATGTTTTATCATTGGTTGGTTTGATAAGTTTAAGTGGTTGGAGTATAGTATATCAAAAAATGCTGCATTTTGCCGTTATTGTTATCTTTTCAAATGTGATTTTGATCAAATGGGTAGCACTGGAAGTGATGTCTTCACTGAGATAGGGTTTACAAATTGGAAGAAAGGACCCAAAAATCTTCGAGTCCATGAGGGAGGTGTTGGAAGTCTTCATAATAAAGCTATACAACAAGCTAGAGATTTGATGACACAAAAACAACACATTGAAACATTTGTGATTAAGCAAACCGATGAAGCTCACATTAATTATCGTACTTTATTGAGTGCCTCACTTGAGTGCACAAGATGGTTGTTGGGACAAGGTTTACCTTTTCGTGGCCATGATAAATCGTTGAAATCAAGCAATAGGGGCAATTATTTAGAGCTTATGCAATTTCTTTCCAAGCATAATGAACAAGTTAGGAAGGTTGTGTTTGAGAATGCTCCCAAGAATCTTAAGTATACTTCTTCCGATATTAAAAAAGATCTTGTCCGTGCTTGTGCCATTGAAACTGTAGGTGCAATCACTAAAGATATGGAAGGTGCATTTTTTTCTCTTTTGGTTGATGGAGCACGTGATTCTTCAACTAAAGAGCAAATGGCGGTGGTATTGCGTTATGTGAATAAAAAAGGAGAAGCAATTGAAAAGTTTTTGGGTGTTCAACATGTCTCCTCTACAACTAGTAGCTCGCTTGAAGATGCCATTGAGAGATTGTTTGCTACAACAAATTTGAGTATGTCTAAGTTACGAGGACAAGGCTATGATGGAGCTAGCAATATGAAAGGTGAGTTGAATGGTCTTAAAACAAAGATTTTGAACAAATACCCTCAAGCATTTTATATTCATTGTTTTGCACACCAACTTCAACTAGCTCTTGTATTCGTGGCAAAGGAAAATGAGGATGTTGCCAATTTCTTCATTAATGCTAGTAGTTTGGTGAATCTTATTGGATCATCGTGTAAGCGTCGTGATGCATTTAGAGAGAAACAACAAGAACAAATTCAGAAAGCTCTTGATCTTGGTAATCTTGAAACGGGTAAAGGGTTAAATCAAGAAATGAGTCTCATGCGTCCATGTGATACACGGTGGAACTCGCATTATGGTACTATAGTTAGTATTATTGTTATGTTTGAAGCCGTGGTGGAGGTGGTTGAATGGATTAAAAGTGATCGCAACCAAGATAATCTCGGTGAAGCAACTAGGTTATTCAAAGACATACAAACTTTTGATTTTGCATTTCACCTTTTCTTGATGAGACTTATATTGGGAATTACAAATGAGTTATCACAAGCATTGCAAAAGAAAGATCAAGATATTGTGAATGCAATGGCGTTAGTGGAAGTATGCAAGCAAAGACTACAATCCTTGAGAGATGATGACTTTGGGGACTTGCTTCATGATGTAGAAAAGTTTTGTGAGGAGCATGATATTATCGTTCCTAACATGGAGGATTTGCATTTCGTACCTGGAAAATCAAGGCGTAAAGCTCCAAAAATCACAAACTTCCATTACTATCGTGTGGACCTCTATTTTCAAGTCCTTGATATGCAACTAAAGGAGTTGAATGATCGCTTCAATGAGGTAAACACCGAGTTACTTCTTTGTATGGCTTGTTTGTCCGGTGAATAATTTTGCATCTTTTGACAAAACAAAAATTGTTCGTTTAGCCGAACTTTATTCTCAAGATTTTGATCGTATGGACCTCATGAATCTTCCAATTCAACTTGACAATTACATTCATGATATGAAGATGCATAGTGAGTTTTCATCATTGAGAGGAATTAGTGATCTTGCACAAGAGTTAGTGAAGACCGGGAGGTCTGAAAGTTATATGTTAGTGTATAAACTTCTTACCGGTTGCAACCGCTTCGGTGGAGAGAGCTTTTTCTGCTATGAAGATTGTGAAAACACCATTGCGTAACAAAATGGGAGATCAATGGTTGAGTGATAGCATGCTTGTTTACATTGAGAAAGATGTATTTGCTTTTATTGATAATGAGCCTATTATGCGACGTTTTCATGACATGAAACCTCGCCGGCAACAATTGTAATTTGTTTGTATTGATTAATTATGGAAGACATTACTATATAAAAAGATTTAGTTGTTGCCATTTTTCTTTAACCTTGCACTCTTTTAAGTTCGCCCCTCCCCCCGAGAAATCCTGGCTTCACCACTGTGCATGGCTACGTCACCCTCACGTGACGGGCATATTATTCATTAATCATGATTACCAGCTAGTGTGACAATTCAACTTTATTTGTCATAAACTCCAATTTACTAAAAAAATAAAATAAAATAAAATTTACTAACTTTAATATGTCCATCTTTTTACTCTTGTTTGTATCACTATTTGGGGGCGGAAGCAAGAAAACCCCTAACCCCACATGATTGATAGATTGGGTTTTTGACACGTGTGTGATCATGTTCAAATGCATGTACCTGTTGGATTTGCTTTAATTCTGTGTCCGACAATGCCCTCTGCCACCCTTTCGGTATCTGCTCTCCCTCTGCAGGCTGCAGTGTGTGAGTGCGCGAGCGAGTGATAGAGAGACTGATTCTACCCACATACGTAGCGAATATTTCCTGTCCAGCTCCCTTTTCAAAAGCAGCCGCCCGTCCCTCTACTATCCCCCTAAAACCCTTTTAAAACATATCTCTTCTTCTTTTTTTTTTCTTCGTGGTTTTTCTATAACAAGATACACATTCAGTTATTTAGTATTACGGTTTAGTGATTTTTTTTTCACCTGTAAATAAGGTTTTAAGTTCGAATCTCGTAAAAAATGAATTGAATCATATTATTGCTAACCCATTATGAGACTTAACTCACTTCCCCACCTTTTTAGTGTAAATATATAATATAGTTTGTAAAAAAAACATTTTTCAATAAACAATATTGCCCCCCACCCCTCCAAAAAAAAAAAATCATCTTAGAAGCACATTCGGAATTAACGGACTGCTTATGTCGGAAGCAATTTCACTCATAAGCACTCTTGCTAGCAAAGCTGCTATCAGAAAAGCATAACAAAGTGTTTATTTAGAATTCAAATGTTTCGTCAAGTACATGACATATCATATCGTTCTTTAAAAGTAGCAACAAAAAAAGTGTTTTTAGAATCTCAAAAACGCTTTAATAGGTATTTATCCAATTAAGTTAAAATTTGGTACAGAAGAGTTGCTAACTGCAAGCAGCTCCAGTACTACTAGTAGAAGTAGCTCTTGTTTTATCTATAGTAATCTAATACAGAAGCCAAAACCTAAAATGTAGATTCAATATAAAAAACTAAACCTATAATGATACAAGACATTGAATTGAATTCCCCCCTTTTAAATTAGCCTAATTAGCACATCTTAAAAGATTCTAAATCTTAAACAATTCTAGGCTTATTGCAACCACAAATTTGTTAATCCACATTCACATAAGCCGGCAAGTGGAGCACTTGATGTACCACCGTGAAATCTCGGGTCAATAATACAATGTTTTTACTCATAACAAATGCATTAAAAGGTCGATTCCAAGCCAACAAGATTCCCCGCTTTGCAAGGGTTGTCGGAAGAACGTCTATCGTAAGAAGCATTGCTTTTCACGACTAGAACTCGTGACTTTTTGGTCACAAAGGAGCAAAACACCCGTGTCCTAGCATAACAAATGCATTATTGACACAAAATATCACAATTGGGTCTAAAGGATAGGAGATGAGTCTCAATGGCTGGCAAGGGACTTCCAAAATGAGAAGCCAAATTCTTTTTAACAAACAAAATTTCCTAAGGGAGAGGGGGTGAGCTAAGTCTTACAATGAGTTAGTAATGATGTGATTCAAATTCACTTTTAACGAGAAAACCTTTTACACAAATGAATGAGACTATTACCAAACTATAATACTAAGTGGAATTAGAGGCCAAATTTGAAATCACAATAAAAAAAACCTACTTTCCTAGTGGCGCCTAGCTAGCCAAGCTATAGTTAGTTTGGTCCCCACGCAAACATAACGAATCATTACCATGAAAAGCATATTCGGAAAGCCAAAAACCCCCAAACGCAAAAAAAAAAAAAAAAAAAAAAAAAAAAAAAAAAAAAATCAAAGGATAAGAAAGGCAGAGTAAACCTGTGATTATAAACCAAAAAGCTGATTAAAAAACAAGAGAGATTCACACACCCACAAACACCCAAAACAGACCCAAACAAAAATCCCTTTTCTTTCCCAAAACTAAAAACAAAAAATTAATTAGTATAAATTGTTGCATAAATAAATATATATAATTTTAGAATTTAATTAATTAAAAAAAAGTTGGGAGAAGTTGCAGAGAATTAGAAGCTTCCATTTGTTGTGACATAAAAAGAAAAGAGAAGGTTGTACAATCAAAAACCCAGATCAGCTCTCTCCACCTTCATCTCCATGCATGAAATTACAAGTTGCATGCTACTTTCTGTCCTACCGAGTGTCAGTTTATTGTAATATACCCACCACCTGCTCTCTCTCTATAGCCAACTGAAATGCTTATGGCTTCAAACGAACCCACTGGTACCGACCATCCAGAGGCACGTCCTTGACGATATCATAGTTGTACCTGCACCCGATTCCGAACCCAATTCGAAACCGATAAAATCGGGTATGTTGTTAGTTAGGCGTTCCGATTTCCGTCTCCTGTTAAAATGCGCCACCGGTGGTACACTACACGAAACGAGGCTTATCGTGCGCACTCCAGCAGAAAAATGGAAAATATAAAGAAAATGGAAAATGTGAAAAAAGTACTCACTTCTCTGTAAAGCGCTATGCTCGTACTTCTCAGCCACAGCGAAGAACTCTTCGATCTCTTCAAACGGAGGGGATTTTCTCTCCGGGATTCTCCGTCGGTGAGACACCGGCGGCGCCGGCGATGACATTTCGTCCGAGTCCAGGCACAGCTCGCTCGACGGCGTCGTTTCCCTGCTGGTGCAGCGAAATTACAAAAATAAGAAAGAAAAAATTGCCGAGTTTTGAGGAACAAAAATCAACCTGAAAAAAATACGTTTCGGTTTGGAGAAATTGAAGAGGAAAATTATGAAGGAATGTGAAGTGAAACCTGAATTTATTGTTGACGAAGGAGGTCGAGTTGGAGAATGCCGTTTTGAAACTCTTGGACTGCAAGCGGTGAAATGAATTTTGAAATTTAAAATTTTTTAAAATTGCAATAAAATTTGAGAAACGTAAAATTGAAGGAAAATGAAGACAGAGAGAGAGAGAGAGTGAGCGTCTGTTTGTTTCCTGAGAAAATCCTAACGGAAACGAGAAAAATCATGGAGTACATTTTTCCGTCCGCTAGTTTATCTCTCCTCTTTTGTCTCCTCGTTTTCGAACAGAAAGAAAGGGGGAAGAGAAATTGGGAGCTCGGACCGAGCTATGGGAAGCGAGATTGACCTCCAGATCTAGGAGCGGAGAGCTGCGGGCGGCGGCGGGGACATCGCTGAGCTCGTTGCTGGAGCAGCAAGAGGAAGGAGGCGGAGAGTGATCGGAGCAAAGGGTGGAGCAGGAGTCCTGGGAATTGAGGAGCTGAAGCATTGTTTGAGTTGGAGGCAATGGCGGCGTTGAAGCAGTAACTTTTCTCCTCTTGGATACGGCTGCGTTGGTGGAGTCGTCCATGGCCGCCATTCGCTTACAGTTGTAGTCCTCCATTTCTCTCTCTCTCTCTTTCTCTCGTTTCTCTCTCTACAGAGAAGGTTAAAGCAGTGCACGCACACACGCACAGAGTGTGTGCTTTCTCTCTCCCTTTTGCTATTTCTGGATTTTGAAAGAGAGAGAAAAGTGGGAGATCCAAGAGGGATGTTGAGTAAGTTATCTGTTGGACGGCTCAGATTAAAAACAGAGAAAAATAAACAGAATTTAGAGGTGGGCCCGGAGGGTGGGGTTGCCTTGGATTTACCGTTCGACCGTGTTACTGCGAGTCTTGGGGGTGAAATTGAATGGGTAAAAGGGTGAAATTGAATGGTGAAATTGAATGGGTAAAAGGGTGACAAAGGGAATGCCGACGGTCCCGTTTCGAAGATCTGGATAATTTTCTGGGAGTGGGAGAGCTTAACAAACAACATGCGCTTCTTCCTCTGTGGGACAGTAACAGTGCCCATATCAAAACGCATGTTTCGTATGTCGTTTGCAAAATTTCTATTTTATCCTTCTCCGATTGATTAATTATATAGTATGCCTTTCTATAATTCCAATTAGGATAAACTACCGTTTAACCTTCTCAATTATTACTTCAGTTGAAAATAACTTCTTACTTGTTTTTTGGTAAATTACATCCTGAACTATTTATATGATGGCAAAGTTGATGAAATTTTATAAAAGTTGACGGAAAAAGATTAATTGACTAATTTCTAATGATTACGGAGATTATTTACCAAAAGTATGTGGCCAACTTTAAATAGTTCAGAGGGTTAAATGACAACTTACTATTCTAATTAATATCATCCTACCATTTTTATTTTCCAATAAGTACGATAGTAATTCATTTGAATTGTCTAGCTATGATCTGTTGTACTTGTGTCTATTATTACCTAAAAGTGAAGGTTTTCGCTCATTTAAATTCATTAATTTCAAATAGTTTAGGAGATTAATTACCAAAAAATAGCTCATGGAGTAATGTATGTGCTCTTGCACTTCGAATCTTATGTTACCACAATATTGCTCGCGATAACAAAAAGTGAGGAAGAATAGGAGTACTTTTCATTTTTGTTTTCTTATCCACTGCCACTAAATCACCACCCCCCAAGTCAAACTGGTACACCAGGGACCGTTTCCTTGGGTGCTAAAGTATGGGTGTTTTGTATCTATTGAGTAAAGAAGGGTTGTAATTGTATAGTGGTATTTTTTTTTTTGAAGAAATTAGGTTCACATTTTTTTTTTTGTTACTTCATTGATTAAAATCCTATTCATTTTTAATTTTTGATCAAGGTCATTGGGTATTAATAACATCATTAATTATTTGAATAATAAAATATTTTTATTTTTAAATATATTCCTTTAGTGTTAAAAATGTTACAATTAGTATATTTATATTTATGGCTAAAATTTTTATCATATATTTTTATTTTTAGTTTGTATCTATTTTTAATTTGCAAATATTTTTTAATTTGTACCAATTTTCTTTTCATTTTTAATTTGTACCCATATATGAGTTTCTTTTTGTGCCCATATTTTTTAAAGTTTCATTTGTGTTTATATCCATGTGTATACCGTCACGTGACATTGTATATTTAATCAATGATAGAAAAATTACATATGGTATATTTATGTTTTATGCCTAAACTTTGTATCATATATTTATATTTTTAGTTTGTACCCACTTTTAATTTGCAACATTTTTTTTTAAATTTGTAGTATTTTATTTTTAGTTTTATTTTGTACCCATGTATTAATTTCTTTTAGGGCCTATATTTTTTAAAAATTCATTTGTGCTCATAATTTTTTAATCTTTTATATGCACCCTAATTTATTTATAATGTGCCCATTCTTCTTTATTAATGTACATATGTGAAATGTACCAATTTTTTTTAACACTATGGATACATTCTTCTGCCATTTATTATTTCTTATTTTTACATAGTTTTTATCCATTTATTCAATCAAAATGTTTGAATTCTTTTATTGTAACTGTTTCTAATAGTATTATAATGAGAGATTTTAAATTTATAGGATTATAAATCTCATAAAATATAAAACGATTAATGTCAAAACTATAAAAATATAAATATTAATAGTAATATATGAGGTGTACAAAGTCAAGGGACTTTGATCAAACTTTGAATACCATTAAGGTTTTAATCAAAGAATGTTAAGGATTCGAGACCGCATCCAAAGTATCCCTTTTTTTTTAACAATCCATATTTGTAGCAATGAAATACTAGTGTTCTATGTGTCTTATGTGTCTTTATAAATCCTGTTCATGGATTAACGAAAATGTGCAAAAACTCTATTTGCCTTTGCCATTTTATAAGTCTCTTCCTTTTTGCGTATAGCAAAGAAGATTATGTAAACACTTATTCAAAATTCAGTTGTACTATGCTCTCCAAGTGTGCTTGTTACTCCCTTCTTCCTTACCATGACAAGTCCTTATAAAATAACTCCGATGAGAAGAAAAAAAGAAGGCATTAAGAGACCTCTCTAAAATGATATAGACATATTTAATCTAAAATTAGATGGTAGAGTACTAGTTTACGTACTTATATAATCTCAACGTTGTAATTTGTTTTGTTGTGTGTATTTTTCTTTCTGCTAGCAAGTGACGGTCCTTGTGTTAGGTTTGTTTTCGTGAATAACGAGTACGGTATTAATTTATTTTTCACTTATTAGTGTAAGTATATGGTTGTATAAATGTTAAATTTATTAAAAATCAAACTAATAAAGGTATTTCAATATACTTTTTTTATTACATATTAACTTTTAAGGTAATTTAGCCAAAAATCAATAAAAACTTTACTATTAATCATATACCATGTGGACTTTATGCCATTATAAATAGTTTAGAATTTATTGTTCATGCTGGAAAACATCAACAAAAACAATAACAGCATGACATTCTTATGACGTTTTTAGTTTGCAATTTGACAAATTAAAATACTAGTTTTAAAACCAAAAAAATGTTGGAGAAAATTACTGTAAAATCTCTAGAAAGTTCAGACTGAAAATCATCAAAAGTCTTGGTAAGTATCTTTGATTTTCCTCCTTTGGCTTACATTCCTGTGTCCTAATATCCATATCAAAGCGTCCTCGTTCGTTCCCAAGCTTATGTCCATTTACACAAAAACTTTAATAAGATTATCTAAAATGAACAAGTATATATGAATCAATAGTAGTAGAAATTCATTAAATAAGTTTTAGAATTGAATTTCATTAATATGATTCCATAGTAAATTTCGAAATTGCTAAACATTCCAAACAAAATTAACATACTTCATTTCATCCATTTGAGATATCACTGCAAATCGTAGACTCTCAATTGCAAGCCATCACTAAGAGAAAAGCTGGCCTAGTTAAGTATAGGAGCTTGTCAAGAGAGGGACGGTGAGATGAGAAAGCATAGAGCTCTACGGTCAGCAATCCAAATCTAGGAAACAGATACTGCGTTGCAGTTTTTGAATCCAAATGTAAAAAACAGAACAGGAAATGGTCATTGAATTGCAGTATTTGAACCAAATGTGAAGGGAGTTGTGTGAGGTGCAAAGCACTCGAGGCAGGTGAGTGATAAAAAATATAACACGAAACGAAAACTTCAATGCAGTGTCTAAATCCAAAAATAAAAAACAGAACAAGGAACAACATTACAGTGTCTGAATCCAAATGCAAAAATGAACACTGTTGATGCACAAAATCAGTGAGGACTTTGGTACAACAGAAAGTGTTAAGTTTGTAACCTTCGCTAGATTACTCCGGTCACTAGTGTGGATAAGTATGTAAATGGATAGAGACAGGGAAGCAAACACAAGATGTATGTGGTTCACCCAGATTGGCTACGTCTACGGAGTAGAGGAGTTCTCATTAATTGTGAAGGGTTTACACAAGTACATAGGTTCAAGCTCTCCTTTAGTGAGTACAAGTGAATGATTTAGTACAAATGACATTAGGAAATATTGTGAGAGAATGATCTCTATTTATAATAGAGAGTTTCTAGTTTTATTCTGACATTGACACGTGTCGTATTTGAATCCAAATGTGAAAGGAGTTGTGTGAGGTGCAAAGCACTGGAGGCAGGTGAGTGATAAAAAATGGAACAGGAAACGGAAACTTCAATGCAGTATCTAAATCCAAAAATAAAAAACAGAACAAGGAACAACATTACAGTGTCTGAATCCAAATGCAAAAATGAACACTGTTGATGCATGTGAGTGATGGAAAAAATGAAACCATGAAATGGACACTGCAACGCAGTGTCTGAATCTAAATGAAAAAAAATAGAATAAGTAAATAGACATTGTGTTGCAATGTCTATCCATATTGACCTATTCCAAATTATGAAAAATGCGAGAAAATGGGTGTTAGTTGAAGTGAGTGCCAGTTGTAGTGGCAGATTCTGTAATTTTTGTTTATTTTAATAAATTTAAATATCATAATACATGATTGACTTATTTTAAATTAACATAAATATTATTGATCTATTTCCAATATTATAATTTTTATTAATTTTATACAAAATCACCTAAACTTTTATCATATCAATCTTGTTTTTCTTTTGGTTAGGACATTAAATCCTAATCCATTTACGCAGCGTAATCAAATTTCCCCATTTGGCCTTTGAGTAATAATTAATCTCATTACTCATAACAGACAAGCATGGAAGGTTTAGAAATGGATGAAAGCATCTCCAATAAAAGATGGAATATCTTGAAATTCGCATTTTATATTTTTGAGAAAATGGCGGGATGTAAATATTCATTTTTGCCGGAAGATGTATATGAAATAAAAATTTGCTTCTTTTTTAACATTTTTTGGAGGTGGGCTCCGCCAACTGAAGAGAGAACAATAAATGAAATCTCAAATTTACATTTCTCCTATTGGAGTAGAACTAACATTCACCCCTCACGAAATATAAAATGAGATTTAAGAGAATCTCCAAATGAAATGTAAAAAAAATCCTAAATAGACAGTTTTGACAAAAAAAAAAAAAAATCAACTTTGCCGTCAAATTTGAAGGCAACGCCAAATTTTTTTTCCTATTTTACTTTAATGTTGGGTCCACATATTTCTTTATTTTTCTTCACTTATTGATTATTTTATTATTAAATTTTGACTTACTTGATTTTATAAATAACAAAAAAGCACTTTAATTTGACACCTCAGTTGGAATAGGAGACTTTACAAAATGTTGTTTTGCCATGTTAGCTATAAAAATGAAATTTGACATCTTCATAGGAGATGGTGTAAATGTGGTTTTTATTTTTAGATGATTAATTAAAAGGGTAAATTTGTCCTTGAAGGGTTTATGCGAAAGTGGATTAAAGAGGTGGTGTTAGTGTAATGTTTTAAACCTATGAAGTTTTTATGAAAACACAAAAAACTTAAGAAGGTGTTTGTGTAATTAACCCTAAAAAGTGTTGTACGAGATTTTCTAGTAATATTCTATTTAAAGTCACGTTTAGATTAATTTTGACCATTGAATTTCATTTAGACTTGAAATGGCACATTAATGTTTTTGGTCCAACTGTTTTGTTTATACCATACTTAGGGCCTCCGTATTTAGACCTCGTATAAATACTCAAAGGACTCAAATGTAATTATGTAATAAATAGAGGGGCAAATATGTAAAAAGAGGAGGAGCCTTTATTCTATAAAAGGACCTCCTTACCCTCACAAACCTTAAGCCTTCTCACATCCCTCAAGCTCTCACTCTCAGAGCCTCATATCCCTTCTCATATTCAGAGAAGCTCATCCTCACATAAGGAAGCTCTCTCTCCCTCTCTTCCTCTTCAACATCTCAGAGAAATACAATAATCAGTGTGGACGTAGCCCAAACATTGGGGTGAACCACGATACATCTTGTGTTATTTACTTTCATGCAGATTCACGATCGGATTTACGTTGGTCCAAGACCCCTTCGGTTTTGTGCATCAACATGTTTCTCTTCCACCTCTCACATGAAGTTAAGATCTCATGTGTTGAAGAATAGAACCCCAAACTGAAAACTTCACAGAATATTATTATAAATTATATTGAATGGTTCTACTCGTAATTGTACCAAGGTATTTTGTGATAAATTTCAATACCTTTTAATATGTACAAGGTGGTTAAGTTGATACAATATTTATGTGATTGGTAGTAGGCCACTAACCCGACTATGAAATCTTGACATCATATCATCATCTTGAAGTGTACGATCACAATTCCAACTCATGATGAAGTTTATAAATAATAATAACAATAATAAAAATGAGTAGAGAAAAATGGGTGCCTCCAAAACATGTTTTCCTACATTTTGGTACACTAGTCTGCTGCGCAAGGTGTAATTGATTGGAGAACGAGTGAGTACAAAACCCAATTTCGTGCCCACAAGAGGAAAAAAAAACATGAAGTGAGGACACTTTCTTGGTTGATGTTTGCCACAAGTACAAGGTAAAGACTTAAGTGATGGATCATGGATGGATGGGACCAAAGCTGGCTAAGGTGTTGATACTTCCATTTGTACTCGCATCCACAATTTAACTGTGATTTTATTTATTGAGACATTGATTGCTCTACGGTGTACAATCATAGTTGTCAAAAAACAGAATCAAAGTTGAATAAAATTGATTATTAGTGAGATTTTTTTCGACAAGTATTTATGCGTAGAGAATCTCTAATCAAGTATGGTACAATTTTAACGTATTTGTATCTCCATCTATCGGAGAAAGACTTATATGGAACAGGTTCACCGCCATGTAACATCTCAGTTCATTAATACATGTCATATGTAAGTTTTTCTCTATATGAAACAATAATATTAATCAAGACGCCGCTTAACAATGGATTCGTTTCATACAAGTTGCTTTCCACCTAGAGGACCGTCTTTGGTAGTCTAGTATGTAGGTGTTTAATATTAAATACGTATGTATTTACTTATTTGTCTATGTGAAGGGAGAATCAAACAACAGTCTCGAGTACAAAAAAAAAAAATGTTGGTAACCATACAAGGATTAAAGGGCATTGTGAGTTTTAAGAGCTAGGTTAATTGGATGACCAAGGACTCATCTAGACTTAAGGGCCAACCGCCAACATGCAGTAGACCAAACATGCCACATTTCTGTAGAGAAGGTACAATTAATTACTTCCGATCACGCAAACTTGTCTTGCCTTCTTGAAACATGCCACTACACACCAATTATTATGGTGAAACCTAGATGTTACAGTCTGTTGGAATTTACAGAAAACTTTACCAAAAACAAGTGAAAAAACTTCAATGCCGTTACATTTTATGGTGGTTGTTTGATCAAATGGCAATTTTCTATTTTATCAACGGAAAGTGTTACAGCTACAAGAGCCAGTTGATTGAGCAAGTGTTATTGTTTAGCTTTTTACAGTACTGCAACTCATTGTTTCACATTATACATGTAAAAATGTGATTGACATATACGATGAGGAGAAATGGCTCCTTACATATACGGAACCAAGTATTTTAGGAGCTAGATCAAGTGAATGAAGGTGAGGAGTAACTGTAATAAATAGTTTTTGTTTTTAATTTTCGAAATTTTATTACGCTCTAGTGTATGACATGCAGTGGATGAACGAAAGACTAGAAACATGTTACATGCCCAATTCAACCAGGAGCTAGGCATGCTTCACAGCAAGCGGGATTGAGCCACGGGGCTATATTATGCGTGCTGTCACACAGCCTCCTTAATTCCCCTGCCACTTCTTCCATCGTGGGCCTTTCGGTACTACTCAACTTGAGGCAGCGCTTTGCAAGCTCTGCAACAGCTCTGAGCTGTTCTCTGTTTCCCTCATTTACAAGTTGCGACACAACGATCTGAAACAGGCCATTTTGTTCCACAGATGAAACGAAATGGGATGTTATGATTCTTCGATTTTCGGGTCTGTCAAAAGACAATGGCTTCTCTCCCGTCAAAATTTCTAACAAGACGACTCCAAAGCTATAAACATCACTCTTATCTGTCAACTGGCCCGTACTTAGATATTCGGGGTCTAAATAACCAACCGTCTGCTGTACCAATGTAGTTATCTGGGATTCATTACTAGGGATTGGGACCAACCTTGAAGGTCCAATACCGGAGACTTTGGCCGTGAAACAATCGCTCAATAATATGTTGGAAGAGTTGACAATTCCACGAATGATCATTGTTTTTGATGAGTCTGCTGCAGAATGCAGATAGGCAAGAGCAGCGGCAGATTCTGAGGCTATCTTCAAAAGGACGTGCCAAGGCAATGAACTCTTCCCGTTAGCATGATGAATGTAGTTGAATAAGGTCCCGTTGCAGGCGAGTTCATAGACTAACATGGGTGCTTCAGTCTCTAAACAGCAGTCCAAGAAATTCACCACATTTTCATTGTTGATTTTGGTAAGAGTGACAATGTCATTTATAAAACGCTCGATTTGACCCTCGCGCACTACCGTTTTCACTATGTCCACAGTCACGCCGTCGGACAAAAGTCCTTTGTAAACTGTTCCACTTTCTCCTGAACCAAAAGTGTGACTCTGGTTATAATAGGCAGCGGCCGCTTCTAGCTCCTCGGCTGCAAAAGTTTTTGTGCTTCCATGTAAAGAAATATGCTGGTCTAGCAATAACCCTCCATTTTTCTGGAAGAACTTGGCTTTGAGATTAATGAACTTCTTTCTGTCAACAATAATTGCTAGATATTATTGGTATAAATAATAGACTTGTAATTATTCTTCTAGCTAGTCATCATTACTTTACTTTATAGCTAGCCATCATTACTTTGCTTTGCTTTCATTTTCTCCTTATTTTCCTCTTCGGTGTTTTCCTCATGTAATCATCATTTGGCTTGTCCACTTGTTAGGACTAGTTTTTGGCCCTCTATAAGAGAGGACTTCCCTCTTGTAAACAAAGAAGAATGAAGTATATTTCGATTTCTGAGATGGTATCAGAGCAGTCGATCATGACTGACTCTTGAACCTCGAAAACAGAAAAAAGCTTCCGCCATATCATATCTCAATCATCATATCAGTTTTATTTTTATTTCAACTTCACTGATCTTAAGCCTATACAATGGTTAGTGATGATGAAGTATCAGACCCACCAATTCAGTCCTTCACACCAGGTGAATCAAACTCCACCACACAAGTGGTCACCATTCAAAATGATAATTCCAATTTCTTTGCAGGAATTAAACTTGATGAGAACAACTATTCTCTATGGCATCAAGTCATAGAGATGAAAATTGCTGGTCGTGAAAAACATGGGGCATCTTTCCGGTGATACTAAGCAGCCTGCAATCACAGACCCACTGTATAACAAGTGGCGAGCTGAAAATTGCCAAGTCAAAAGTTGGTTATTTGATGCTATGACACCCAATCAGATGAAGCGGTTCATCCGTTACGACACAACCATGCATGTATGGGATGCCATAAAAAAGACTTACTCAGATGGCTCTGATGAAGCCAAAATTTATGATCTTCATAAAAGGACATTTACCATGAAGCAAAATGGAGCTCCTATTGCTAACTATTACAGCAATCTCATTGAGATTTTTCAAGAACTTGATCAACTTAGTCGTACTAACATGAAGCACCCAGATGATATCTCATCAAGGCAGCAAGAAATTGAGCGACTTCGAGTCTATATTTTTCTTGCAGGATTAGACAACAAGTTTGATCAAATTCGTGGTGAGATTTTGAGGATGGAGCCCAAACTTGGTCTTGAAAGAGCATACTCTCATGTCAAACGTGAAAGCAATCGACAAGGAACCATGTCAGAAAGTGCCACCATGCTTGAAGCTATTGTGCCCTTTACCACAAATTCTCGATCTCCACAAGGACCTCGACTTCAAAACATAAACTCCTTAACAGTTGATCGATTTCGTAATCGACCACCTATGCAGTGCACCAAATGCGGATTGAAAAATCATACTATTCAAGGCTGTTATGAGATTATTGGCTATCCAAAAGGATGGGTTCACAAAGGACGAAAGAAGGAATCTAGCAGAGCATCATTCACCACCTCTGAGTCTTCTTAAGATGTTAGCTCATCTGACCATGTCCCAAAAGCCTTGAACACCTCAGGTATATCTAATTTTACATCCGCTAATACCTGTAATAGATCGTGGATTATTGATACAGGTGCCACAGATCACATGACATCTGATGCTAACATTCTTCACTCACTAAAAACAGCCAACCAGACATTCATTACCAGTGCCAATGGTTCAATCTCTCCGGTTACTGGAGAAGGCTCTCTTTCACTAACTTCCTCACTCAATCTTGATCATGTCCTAGTTGTACCATCCCTAGATTACGATTTTTATTTGTTTCTCAAATTATTGACTCCCTTAATTGTTCTGTTTCCTTTTGGCCAATATATTGTCTTTTCCAGGATCTGCTCACCAGGGCCATGATTGGTTATGGTACTAGAAGGGGCAAACTATATTATTTGGACTTAAAGGAAGAATGCAGCAATAGATTGAGTCAAGTGCATCATGTAAGCAGAGACGAATCAACCCGAATGATTAAGATTTGGTTATGGCACAGGCGATTAGGACATCCCTCATTTGGTTATCTTAAACTTTTATTCCCTGAACTTTTTCCCCAATTCAAAGAATCTGATTTCCATTGTGAAATTTGTATTTTGGCCAAAAGTCATCGTGTTTCCTATCCATTAAGATTAAATAAAAGTTTTGTGCCATTCATGGTCGTTCATTCTGATGTTTGGGGTCTTGTGATATGAGCATATTTATGCGACTGAGTTAGCTTGTTCTTATGCATTTATGTTGTTATTCCTTAGTAGTTTTAGTGTTTAAAGTCATTTTTGTGCAATTTCAGGTTTTAAGGACAAAGTATGCAAAAATGTGCATTTTGGAGCATTTTGGAGCAATTTTGGGCTTGGAATAAATATCACATGCTTGGAACTAAAGGAATGGACAAAATTGAAGACCTAAAGATGAAGATTCCTACTTGAAGTAGGAAAGTTAAGCCAAGGTTTCCTATTTTGGTTTGATCTTTCCTAAATCCTAAATGTCCCTAAGTTCCAGCAACATTGAAGGTTTCCTATGCATTTTAGGACACAAATTAAGGGTTCCTTGTACCATAACAAACATTTGCTGTGCACTCCATCCATGTTTAATTCTTGCATCAATCATCACTTCACTTTCACCTTTGAATCATTTCAACACCACTCCATTTTACCCATGCTTTGCATCATTACTTCACTTTCACCTTTGAATCATTTCAACACCACTCCATTTTACCCATGCTTTGCCTTGCACTTCCTCTATAAAAGGAAGTGTGTGTAACATAAATTGAGTTAATACTTGGTTAGATTATTCACTCCTATTTCAACACAACCTTCATCCAAACACATCCATTCATCTTCACATCCATTCCTCCATACAAACAAACCTTCAAACACTTACCAACACCTTGTGCCGTAGCAAAGGAAGGGAAGGAAAGTGCTTGGACGTGCTTGCTGTCCAACTTGGATCGTTGAAGCGTTTAGGTGTTTTCTTTCTTTTATTTCTAATGTTTAAATTCATTTCCTTTCGTTTTGTTGTAAATATGAGTGGCTAAACCCCTCTTGGCTAGGGGTGATTTCAAAGCCATGACTACGTTTATTGCAATATAATTTGATAAATTCCAGTTATGAACTTTTGAATCGTGAATGCAATTGACTTAACTATTTGATTGATAACTTATTTGTATTTGTTAATTAAGGGTCGACACTTAATTGGCATGCATAAATCCGTTGCTAGAATAGAAGGAAGTTTCACATAATCGTTACAAACTTATATTCACATGTAGTGAAGGTCGCTTATAAACGATCGCGTTAAGTTCAATTCCTAGCATGAGTGACATGATGTCATAGTTGCAAGTGCTTTGTCAATGCTTATGATTTTCATTAAACGTAATGATCTTTGATTGTATCTCTATTATGATGTCATGTAGGGAACTTTAGAAGAATGTTTTGGGTTGTCGAATGATGTCATCCAATCCAATAAAACAAGGAAAATCTGAGAGTTAACTAGTGATGTCACGGTTAATTTGGAGCATTGTGGTTCATAATTCAATGAAGTACTAACTGGAAATCGAGTTATTTGCATACATGTCATGTGTGTTGAAAAAGCCTCTAGCTATCCCATCCATCATCTTATTTCTCACATTCGTTTTACAATCTGTCTAGTTTTTCATACTTGTTTGTTTGTTTCAACTTCGTCCAAAACTCAATCCCCCTTTACTTTAGAGTGTCTAATTAGTTAGAATCTGTTTTAATTTGTGTTTTTAAATGTTTTGATTCAAGTAAAAGTCAATTTTCGTCCAAAGTCATTCCTAGTGTCTAGTTTAAGTTTATTTAGTTATTTTAAGCTGTTTTGAGTATTTTAAGTTTGCTTTGAGTCTTGTGAGTCTTGTTAAGTATTTTTAAGTTTAGTTTTATGTTTTTGAGTCAGTTTAGAGGTTATTAGCAAGCCCTCCTAATCCCCGGTCCAGAACTATCCCTACTTATACTTATGCTACAGTTGTCAAAAGAGGGTTAAATTTGTGTGTTAAGTTAATTTTTGCATCAAGTTTTTGGCGCCGTTGCCGGGGATTAGCAACTTTGCTAATCCCTTATTATTTCTTTTTGTTTATTTTCATGTATTTTTGTTCCTAGTTGCTGATTTTACTTGTTTTCTTGTTTTAGGTGGTTTATGACTCGAAGTTCTCAACCTGTTCATAAGCACATCTTTGAATTTGACGACGATTTTGAATGAACTTTGAGATGAGCAAGGAATCAACAAGATCCCCAACCATTTCAACCTGCACCAGATATTGAAAAAGACAAAGTAGAAGAGCAAGAGGAGGCCATGGTAAGGACTTTTGAAGAAGTCCAAGATATGGCAGTAGACAATCGAACAATCAAGGAGCTTTCCGCTTCGGGATTGGACAATGCTCTGCCTTTATGCATTCAATATCCAAGGGCGGCCCAAAACAAGACTGACGAGTTCGAATTAAAGTCCAGTTTATTGCATCATATTCCTAAGTTCCATGGGTTGTCCATGGAAGATCCTAATAAACATTTGAAGGAGTTCGAGGTTGTTTGTTCGAGCATGACCCCTGTGAATGTTGATGGGAGCATTCTGAAAATGAAGGCTTTTCCCTTTTCTCTCTTGGAAAAGGCTAAAGATTGGTTGTATGAGTTAGCCCCCGGAACTGTCACATCATGGGAGAGTATGAAACGGGCATTTTTGGAGAAGTTTTTCCCAACTTCTCTAGTCATTCTACTATGCAAAAGGATTAGTGGCATTCAGCAAAATCAAGGTGAATCCTTTCCCACTTACTATGAGCGTTTTAAAACCCTTGTTGCTTCATGTCCACAGCACCAGATGAAGGATGAGCTTCTTCTTCAATATTTCTATGAAGGGCTTCTACCAATTGAACGCCAAATGTTAGATGCCTCAGCATGAAGAACTTTGTTGGACAAAACACCCATGGCTGCCAAGACCTTAATTGCTAATCGAGCATTGAATGTTCAACAATATGAAGGCGTTGGTCAAAGAGACAACCCACGACAGCAACAAGTTAATGAGGTAAATGCTATTTCCGAACTTTAAAATCAAATGGCTAATCTTACTACTCTTCTTTCACAAGTGGTTGAAAAACCAAAAGAACAAAGTGTAGCTGCTTGTGGCGTGTACTCAATGAATGGACATCTCACGGGTAAGTGCCCTTAATTGATCGAGAACGGAGGGTGGGAATCTGCCAACGCCGTGGGTTTTGGGAGTCAAAACCAACCAAGGAATGATCCGTTCTCGAATACATACAATCCAGGTTGGAGAGATCATCCAAATTTCAAATGGAGGGAGTCCCAACAAACCCAACAACAAAGTGCATTTAGACAACAACCTCCGAGATTCTATCAAAGGCCGTATGCACCCTCACAACCCAAACACAACCTGCCCAAAATAACTCAGGTTCGTCTTTTGATAATGCTCAAGTTATTCAGTTACTAACTACGTTGGC